GGATGGAGTATGGATAATCGACCCTGCTGATTCTCGTGGCAATAATTGTTTTTAGAAAAAGTTTTAAAAATCTACCGAAAAACCAGTTTTACGAAAATTAGCGTTTTCAGTCCGTTTTAGCTGAGCTTTTAATTAAAAAATTCATTATTCACTCGAAAAGCATCAGAACACGCTCAAAACTTCAGCATGTAGAGTATTTAGGCTGTTCTATATCTTGTTTATAGAAGACCTCGAAATAACTTTTGAAAACCTTCAGGTTTCCTAAAAGTGTTTCTGGAAAACCTATTAACCAAACTATGTTTTTCGATTTTGTCGATTTTATCTTTACGTTTAGCGGGCAACACTAATCATATCCTGAGGTTTTGAGCTTGTTCTGATGCTTTTCGAGTGAATAATGAATTTTTTAATATTACGTTAAAACAGACTGAAAACGCTAATTTTCGTAAAACTGGTTTTTCGGTAGATTTTTAAAACTTTTTCTAAAAACAATTATTGCCACGAGAATCAGCAGGGTCGATTATCCATACTCCATCCGTCTTTCAGGCTATCAAGAGTCACTGGTGCCAGTCCTGGGACTCGTCGGAAATCCGATACAACAGCTGAATCACAGAAAATCAAGGTCTCACTTTGCTCCCATTTTGAAGAGAACACCCCGGACTATCAGCCCATGAAAAAAATTAATATATTCCTATGCGCGTTTCGAAAAATCCAGGCCAGTTTTCTAGATAGTAGTCACGTTCAACCGAGTCAGAAACATTAGCTAAATAGACCTCTTTGACTGTACCGACAAAAACTGTTAAAAATCCCACTACTATTCCAGATAGATAGCGTTGTGTTGAAAGAAACGGATGGACTACGTACCATCGAGCCAGTATTCATCTGGGAGACACATTCCATTCGAACAACGATATTCATTTTCATCACATTCGTTGAACTCCAGTAAATGACAAAAGTCTTCATCGACACCATCCATACACTGTTGTGTTCCGTCACATATATCTCTCCAGTCAAGACACATTAATCCCGAATTGCATGTTGTTCCCAATGTTGAATAACATGGACGATTATTATGCAGTTGATTACCATATCTATTAGCTCGAATTTGTCCAAATTGTTCTTTAACGGCTTCGTCAAATGTTGTTGCATCATAATAAAATTTATTTTCACAAAACTTACCAAATGTGCCAGGAATTGTACAATTACATAAATAGTTATTGTCAGCCTTATTTCTTAGATAAGAAGCATATTCATCTACATGTTCAACAGATGAACTTGGCCATTTTAATAAATCATTTGGCGTTATAGATAACTCTGACAATTGAAAATAGAATAATTTTGTACTGTTATTCAAACAAGTATCATTTGAACGATCTAATTTTACCATTTTAGATGGTTGCTGACAATATTTTACAGGAACTGTACCTTCACCCTCACCCAGATACGATGTTTCATTTGTATAATAGATACAGTCATAATACTGCACTAAATTGGCATCTTTTGTATTATGAAGAATTATATGCATCTCACATCGAGGAATCAATAGAATGCACAAAAGAAATAGTGCCGTTCTCATATTAAATCGCTTATCAAATACCGTATGGTAAATTTATATTAATAATAACTTCAATAAAGTTCCCCTGATGATAAATAGAGTATGGTTTCCGACTACAAAAAAAATAACGATAGAAAAGAAATTAATTGTCGAACAAGGCTGGTTTCTGGTAATTCAGAAATTAGGAAATTCATAATATCACATATTAGACTCAATAAATGAGTACTTCACAACGTAGTCAGTATTATCTACTGAACATCGTTCATCACATAAAAATAACGAACTATGAGTTTTCTAGAAAAACATGCAAAAAAACACTATTGGTCTAAACTTTTTGTTACCTGCAAAATCTTCAAAAAAAATATTAATTTTTCTTTGCACACGCAAACTAAGAAAAATAGAGAGAAGACACGTACTTATTACAATAGCATTTTCTCTCATAATATTGATCTTGTTTTTTATTTGTGTTCTTCATCGAGTAACTGTCCTTTAATGACACATTCTTCTTATCATGAAATGGATAATAAGTACATTTTACAAATAACCCAACAAACGGTTCTCGTTTCTTTTCCGGAAAAAAGCATTTGGATATGAAAAATTATCTGTCAGTTTTTAAATCTGTGCTCGTTAAATGAATCATTGTCTAATCAATATTGGAGGACTGAAAAAAGCAGATAATTCCACGGTATAAACAGTGTTAATAACAAACATAAATTGTTAATAATTTAAAGCTTCTTTAGAGCAGATCATAGCTGTCATACTTCGATAATCGATTCTATGTTCATTTCATTCAAAAAAGATACACACTAACGGGTGTTGCAAAAGTTCTGATATAATTTTATTTTTACTACAGTATTTTACAGAAATATTGCAGAGACTTTATCCTGTTTTTGTTAGAAAGAGCAAAGTGTCTAGTACAAAAATATATAAAAGTGTTTGATCGGAAATGTTTTCCGAAGGTCACAAGAATCTTAGAACGAAAGGTATGGAAAAACTGCTCTGCAACTTCGGTATTTGTTTGACCTTTTTCATTACTCACTTTCGATATTTTCGAGCATCATATATATGTGGTTGTTCATTACAACGAAGGCTTTTATATGATATTAAAAAAGTTGGCCTTGAGTACAAGAGACTAAACAGAAGACCGTTTAATTAAAAGCCCAATTTTGCGTTTACAACGCGAAAAAGAAGTTTTTGTCCTAGTATCTCAAAGAGAAGATGTGTTCTATTCCGAGTAATATCGTTTGGTTGAGGACTCAATAAGCTTTCTTTTCCATGTGAAGTATATACTTTTTGACAACTTCTCTTTAAGGGTAGAATTTCTTTTTTCGACTGCGATCGACAGTGATGAAAAGTCAGTGGTAACACAGGATGTTATAAAAGCGCTCATTTCGACCGTTTTGAAACACGAAGGAATTTTCTTTTTGTGAAGCAATAGTACCCTATCATTACATGACAAAACTTGGAATAAAACAAACAAAAAGATAACCGTTCTAATTGGGTGAAGTTTTTTCTAAATTTGAAAAGGTTGGGGAATAGTTTTAAAAAAATGATAAAGTCTCTACAACACTATGATCTTATTCATGATTACAACATTGTTCTGTTGTTATGGGTGGTGCTGAGTTGGCTGATGCACTTACTTTTAATATCGTTAGTGATCAACAAATTCAATTAATTGCATTATCTGTCATTGAAAACAGATGAGTATAAGCAGCATTACATTCCATGGGAATTGTAGAAAAGACAATGTTTCCACAGATTTTAAGAAAGGAAGAGTTTAACTTTCCTGCTTATAAACTTCAACTGTCTGATTACAGGCTAAGCTTTTCAGAGTTTTAGAAAACGAAAAAACGATAACTTAAATTAAAAATCGAGGATTTGTTCGTTCGATCATTGCTATAATCTTTGTCGGAAAAATTCTTCGAAAAGAGCTACATTTAAAAGTGTATTCGACAGTGAGAAAATGAAATCTGAATTCTGGTGCTGAATGCGACTTTTAAAGAGTACATTGAGTTCATGCAATGCAATAACGTAAATGTCATAGTAATTTAGTATTTTTTCGAACATATCAGATTACTTATAAAAATCTAGTGTATCTTAACGAACGACAATGCAAAAATTCATTTTTCGACAGTGTAAATTTTTGTTTATTATTTCGATGAGAGGTGAAAATATCCCAACAATATTTTCAATAATACCGGGAAATATTTCTGATCAAAATGAGATATCTCCCAGCTCTGAATAATGCTCTGATAAAGAGTTATGAGAGTTTTATCGAAAGGCATAAACATGCATCAGATACTGGCGCCACCATAGCTCGAAAGCGACTTTCACTTTAACACCATTTCGTAGGTACAAGATATCTCGGTAACCAAATGTCACAGAGAGCTTGAGAAAGTCTTAAATTGAAGTTGACACATGTGGCTAGAGGCTAATAGAGTCCGATTTTTGTTATCTGACGTAAGTCTGTGGTTAGAAAAATATCGTTATGCAGGTTAATGATGGTTTTTCGAATTTTGAACTTTTAACGCTCACCATTAGTTTGAAAAGTAAAATATCAAAAATGCGGCTCTGTTATACACTTAAAGAAAATTTAACAAAAGATTATTTTCTTCGAGTTCAATCTTTTAGATACCATTTTGCAGAGAGAATTTAAACTTTAAATCGATTGATTGATTGATTATAATTCGCCTTCATTTCTGGTATTTTGAATAGGTATAATTTAGGTTTTTCCAAGATAAATTTTACTAAAAAAGACAATAAACCGATGACTTTCATTGAAAATTTTTGATACACTTTCTACTTGATTTTTTTAATTTTATTGTTTAAAATCAAAAATTTGCCTCATTTTCCATGCTGAAAATTGACTTGGAAGTTCTTTCCCTAGAGAATTTTAAGCTCTACAAGACCCACTAATGTAAATTCTAAAAGTAGGATAATCTATAGAGTCAGTGTGAAAATTAACCATACATTAGAAAGAAGATTCTCTGCTCCGAAAGATCGTGCAAAAATTGACTTTTGACGGGTGGACACATGATGTCTAAAGTTGTTCTGTTGTTAATATTGAAGTTTTATTTAGATATCTTCGTAGGTTTTGACAAGTTATTTTAATATCATTGCAAGTTTTAGGCGCAAATATTGATCAATTAATCTTCTTTTTACTTTTATTGCTAAAAGGAAAACTATTCTGAAAAGATCGCATGTAAGCGGTTTTTAAAATGGACAGTTCTTAGTCCGATGAAAAAAATTATTCCATTTTTTTTCATGGGAAGAACTCGAAATAGTCTGATTTATTCTACCTTGAAATCGATAGTAGTTTCGATACTACTATCCGTTCCAAGATCAGTGGTTACTTTTTGAATAACTCAAAAGGAATAAAAGACAGAGGCTGGCAGTTTTCATCCTTCGCTAGCCAAGACCTAAAGCTATGCTTTCATAAGCAAAAGCGAATTTGGAAAATATTTTAAAGATCGGTTTTTAAGAAGATCTGGGGAAACCAATTTGGTACTCTGAACACTAGTACAGAAATCTATGAATTTCTTGTCATAGATATATAGTCCAAAGTGTCATCTACAAAACTGGATTAAAGCGATATCTTACAAATCCCTGGTTCGCGTGCTATGGGTCTTTCCTGAAGCCTTAGCACTCCTTTGTCGTTAGGTTTGGAACTGTCAGTAATTAATGAAAACGTAGGTTATCGACTAGGCTAAACCTCGCGGCAATGTTAGTTTTCAGAACAAAATGCAACAACCGAATAAAAGTCCACACTAGGCGAAATTACCCATTTTTGATTATTTTCATTAAAAATTAAAAAAATTCATAATTCAGTCAAAATGAACTGAACCTCCTTCAGAATTTCATGAGATACTCTGTTTTATTCACTCATTTTGGATCTGTATGTAAAATGAATAAAGAATTAGTTTTGAAGGTTTCTGTGAAACTCTTCTAGAAACCAGATTATTTTCTGTTAGATTTTTCAACATTTATTGAGCTTTACAGATAAAATAGAGAGTATTATCTGACATTCTGAAACAAGTTAGATGAATTTTGACTGAGCTATGAGTTTTTTAATTTTTGATGAAAATAATCAAAAACGAATTATTTCACCTAGTATAGATTTTCACTTTGACGCATTTTGTTAAATAAGTATAGGCTGCTGTGGATCTGATGTGATGAAAAGTAAAATACACGTCAATCTTTGGCTTTGACTGACTAAATTAAATTTTTTCTGTTTCTTTCACAGTCTCTCTCTTCCTCTCTTTAAATATGACAAAAAAAAACAGCGAAATATTATGTGTTTTGTTGTAGTTGAGAATAAGAAAAACGAATTTTATAATATTATTTGATTTACTCAAATTTATTTTTTATCTTTTTCTAAAAACTGCATCTAGTAATCTACTCACACTGATTATACGATGAAAAAAACTTTTAAATCAGGAAGGTGTTGGGTTACGTGGACAAGTCGACAAACAGTGGAATAAAGTAGGTCTCTATAAAGATTGGCTATTCTATGTAACTAAATCTCCCGAGAATGTAAAATTCGAATTACTGGTTTCAGCATAAATATTCATGATGTTTGGCCTGGGTATCTCAATCTACGCGGACTCATTCCATCAAAATGGTAATTTGATCTTCTTCATAGTTACTTTTTTTCTTTTTCAAATAACGACCTGATAGCTTTTGATATATCAGAATACAAAAATAAATTTGAGTAGATCAAATAACATCATAAAATTCGGTTTTCTTATTCTCAACCAAAACAAAACCATATAATATTTCGCATAAACAAACGTAGTTTTTCTCTAAAACGACAAAAAGCGCACTTTTCTATGATATGTGTGTAATGGAAAAATATATTTCAACGAGGATGAAGAAAACACGTAATGAAACGTCTAAGTCCAAATTCCTACACTTTTATAATCAACACTTATATGCTTTTGTAAAGAAATGAAAAAGTTTTGTTGCTCACG